GGCCACAACACAAGCGGCCTTCAGGTGAAGGGACGAGACTGTCTAGAGAATGTTATTGTGTTATTTTATTTTATCAATTTATTATTTTATTCTCATTCTACGTGACTTTACTGACAGTCTCGTCCCTTCAGTCTCGTCCCTTCACCTGATGAAGGCCGCTTGTGTTGTGGCCGAAACGTCGTGAGAATTTTATTGTGTTATTTTATTTTATCAATTTATTATTTTATTCTCATTCTACGTGACTTTACCGAAAGAACCAAAGAAGATATTATTCAATCGTTTTCATATTTATGTTCTTTTATTATTTTTGCATCGCCAAAAGTGATATCGGTGTATATATTCCCAAATGTTTGTGTTACATTCATAAGAAAATCCAATCAGATTTATGAAATTTCGTGTTACGCCTGTTTTTTTTTAAAGAACCCAACCCTTTCGTAAAGAGAGGAAAAACTATACTGTATTATCTATTAAGAGCGCTATTTGTTGCTGGGCGATTGGTGTTTTGAGCCATTGGGCCTGCTGTGCTCAGCAGCCATGATTGGAAACCTGCACGGGAGTAGCTGTAAAGGGAAGAAATTAACTGGCAACATATGTGGGGAAATGCATAATAATGTGAAGGTGTTTCATTGACAAACAAGGCTTGCCTGGGCAGGAGCTTGCTCATATTTGGAGGTACGGAGCAGGAATATAAACTAAAAACGGAGATTCCGAGCGCAGAAAGCGATTCCAACCGAAACGTAGGTCGAACCCACGCTCGAACACGTTCACGGGCCATGTGCTTAAACCCATCCTTTGTACCCGTGCTTAAAACCCACGCTCCTTACCCTAGCCCTGACCCTAACTAGAGCCCTAACTCGAACAGGGGTTTGAGCACGCGTTCGACCAAGAGTTTGGGTTGTCGTGCTTCGAATTGCTGAATGCAGCCATTAGGGTATCGCTGCCTCTCCACCGGTTTATAGTAATAGGTTTTACCCTTTTAACTGGCACAAAAACTGACACCTTTATTCAAGGAATCATATTTACAATAACCACAACACAAGCAGTCAAAATGCAAACAAAAGAGACAACTCTGATAATAATATGCACTGTCCTTGAAATTGATTGGTCCACACCCGAGACAGCTTTTCTTAGAGCCTAGTCTAGTCTCCACTGGTGTTGTTACTGGCAAAGGAGGTCTCATAATGTAAAAAATCTCCACCGGTTGTTGATTTCCCGCCGTTGGTTGCCATTGGATGGTAGACTTGCGTCGTGTGTGTGTAACACGTGCACGGAACAATGGCCTCTATCGCGTCACGACGCACGTGACGAATGCAGCAGCAACGGCGAGTGGGTTGCTGACCCCCACCGCGAGCAGCATGAGTTCGTTGTGGTTTTCATAAACTTTGGGAATTTCCTCCACGGCGCTTACAACATGTGCAAATATGTTAGCAACCTTTTTGCTGGACTTGCTCACCCCACGCACACTTTGTACGTGCCACTAACCTCGCTGCAACCGCGGACAGTATGGGTGTGTACAGCTGTACGTACACAAGTGTTTTTGTTGTGTGGTTGTGTCAGTGTGTAAACATCGCAGCCTAAATGACCAAACAAACCACGAACGCGCTGGTGCACTTTGAGGCCACAACAAACGAAGATCCTCCGTATCGCTTTGACAGACTGTTGGGGCAAATGTGCTGAGAGCGAGCACCGATGAAGGCGATGTTTACACACCGCGACAAGTGCTCATTTGAGGCTTAGTCAAATCGGGGGAGGCCCAGGACCGATTCAGATTCGTATCACCGGTGTTGGCCCTGAGAGGGAATCGGAACTTGCCGGGTTAGTAGCGTGGCGCACTTAACTGCTGCACCACCGCTCCCAGCACTTTGAGGCCACACGCACGCACACACGGACCCAGGGAGGCTAAGCAAGCTTTGGGCCTGGATACTAATCCAAGCAATACCCAGTAAACATGCAACGTTGGGCCAAACGTGCACTGGCGAGCAGAGGACATTGCAGCAAAATCGGTTGTTATACTGCACCTTCGATGCCCTCGTGTCTGTGCTCCGTCCCTGACGAACTTGTGTTCTCTTCAAGGGCACGGTTACATCAACAGCATATGAAATCTGTACCTTGTAACTGGTTGTTCTCTTAAAGGCTTTTTTTTCCAGCCTTAAATCAGTAATGTTGGTACGGCGCGTAAACATCAGTACTGGGGATACAAAGGCGTGCAGGCACTGGCTCTGACCACTACCCCCCCCCCCCCCCCTTCGGTCTCACCAACAGCACTCGCTGGGCCCAGCAGTTTGTTTCAATGCTACGCGGGGGATCTCGTTTTGGCAGGGCGGTGCGTGACATTGTTGAACTGTGGCAGGATTGACGATATTAGAGTGTGTGTTGGGGTGTGTGTGTGTATGTTGGGGTGTGTATGTTGGGGTGTGTGTGTGTGTTGAGGTGTGTGTGTTGGGGTGTGTGTATGTTGGGGTGTGTGTGTTGGGGTGTGTGTGTGTTTGGGGTATGTGTGTTGGGGTGTGTGTGTTGGGGTATGTGTTGGGTGTGTGTGTTTGGGGTATGTGTGTTGGGGTGTCTGTGTGTGTTGGGGTGTGTGTGTTGGTGTGTGTTGGGGTATGTGTGTTGGGGTGTGTGTGTTGGGGTGTGTGTGTGTTGGTGTGTGTTGGGGTGTGTGTGTGTGTGTGTTGGTGTGTGTTGGGGTGTGTGTGTGGCCTCATCGTTGGGAGCGGTGGGGTAACGGTTAACGCACTGCGCTACTAACCTGGCGAACCGAGTTAGATTCCCGCTCACGGACAATTGCAAGGGCGGATATATATTTGCTGGGCCTCTCGGAGGTCGATTCGTCCTTAAAACGAGTGCCCAGTGTGCGACAACATCAGCGCTGGGGAGACAAAGGCGGTCGGGAGTGGTGCTGGCCACCCACCCCCTCGTGTGCCGTGTCAGCCATCATAAGTGTTCGCAAACAGCCCTTGCCCCAAGAGTCCGTTGAGGCTATACGGGGTATCTTTGTAGTTGTAAGCGGGAGAGGGGATGTTGTTCATGTGTGCGCGTGTGTGTTGGTTTGCAAATGTTACGTCCGTGTGCGTGCGTTTGTGTGTGGGGGAGGGGTGCGGGTATGTATGCGTGTGTGTGTGCGCATGCTGGTGGTGTGAGTGTTGAAAGGTGCCCGAGTGTTGATGTGAGGGTGTGTGTTTGCACGCGTGAGTGTGTGAGTGTGTGCGTCCTTTGTACATGTTTATACACATGCCTGTTGGTTGGTGTGTGAGTCTGTATGTTGGTGTGTGTACATGGGGGTTGGCATGTATACATATATGTACATGTGTGTGTGTGTACACGTGTGTGTGTGTACACGTGTGTATGCATGTGTTGGTGTGTGTTCACGCGTGTGTGAATGTGTTATAGTGTGTTCACGCGTGTGTGAATGCATGTTGGAGTGTACATGTAGGGAGCGGTGATCCGAGTTCGATTTCCCGCTCACGACCAACTCCTGGGTCTCCCCTAGGTCGACTCAGCCTCAAATGAATACCTGGTGTGTAAACATCGCCACGAGGGAGGCTGGGTGCTGGCTACCCACCCCCTCGTGTGCGTTCCGGCCTTCATAGGTGCTCGCTAACAGCACCTTGCCACAACAACCTTAACCTCTCGGGAGTTCATGGGGAGCGGTAAGTGTCGCGGTTAGCGCGCTGCGCTACAATTCGCGGAGTTTGATTCCCGATCACGGATGTTAACAGCAGTGACGATCATCTCAATATATCTTGGACCTCCCACTAGGTTGACTCAGCCTCAAATGAGAACCTCATGCGGACCAAGCGTGGGTCAGGCCACCCCAACCCTCGTGTGCCGTGCCCGGCCTTCATAGATGCTCACTAACAGCACCAAGTCCACGCTATACGGGGAGATCTGTGTCTTAGCCCTATGCATGCGTGTTATTGTAAGAGTAGTTCACGTGTGGATTGTGTGTTGGTGTGTGAGTGTGTTAAGGCTCATCGGGGGTGGGGGGGGGGTGATCTCTGTCTTTGTGTGTGCTGCGAACTAAGCTGAATGCATCGTCGCACACACGCGGACCCGTATCGCTACAGTATACGTTTACTGTAGCTTTACCCACACAGCACGGGGTGTGAATCCGCTTGCTGAAGGTCTCCCCACAATGTGCCAGTTGTGAGGATTGCTTAACCATCATACGCCACCACGCACGTGCATTGTACTTTAGTCCACTTGTCGATTGACAACGGCGGAAGCGTGCCCCTGTCTCCATCACGAAGCGTGGGACAGATCGCCACATCCACGTCTCTTTCACTCGTTCCATTATTTTGTGAATCTGTCCCAACGTGTCTTGCGAGAAGGCTCGCCGATCGGGCCTTGCGTGTGGACAGGAGGCCACGGAGTTCACTTCAGAAGTAGTTTTGTGACATCCCGCGTTCTAAGAGGCCCTTCGCTGGCACACGGTGGTGCACTGCTTAATGCGAGTTTTTTTTCCAAACGAATTGACACTCTTATCTACTAACGCCCGTTAAGAACGAATTTTTTTAGTAAATTTTGTGTGCCGGAGGGGAGAGTGGGGGGGGAAGAAAAATGACACAAAACCATACAAAAAAATCACCACCCCAGTAAGCATTCAACGTTAGGCCAACGTTGGTCCAAAGCTGCAATGTTTTAGGGGACACGAGCTGGGGAATTGACCTCGTGTTTAGGTCGAGCAGGTGCTGGTGGGGGCTGTTGCATCGCGGGGTCGTCAGAGATGGCGACCGTGTGGAAGAAGCCTTCATCCAGCAGTGGATTGATCATTGGCTGCCTGCTGGTGGTAATTCCGACTTATCGCAATCAGCCATGCTCTCTCAACTGATGGGAGATGATCACCATGGCCACTATCATCAGCCACGATTGCGATGATGGTTATCTTTCTCACTCACCTGCTGGATGATGGAAGATGATGATCATCATGACCACCGTCAGTCACGACGACGATGATGATGATGGTGACGATGGTTATCAATCATCCGTGGTCAATCCACTGCTGGATGGTGGTTGGAGGCAGATTAGTAGTTGGTGATGATGGTGGTGGTGGTGGCGTGCCACGAGGGGGCGTGCGCGTGGCGTGGCCCGGTCGCGGTGGTGGTTGGGGGTGTGGGTGCACGGCGCTGCTCACCCCCAACCTCCTGCGCCGCGTGATTACGCGACGATGTGCGTCACGGCGCCGCGCACAGCCCCGCTCCATCCCCTTGCTCGATTCCTCCTCATCCTTTCCCCCCTCCGCATCCTCTCCATCCCCATAGCTCGCTCCCCTCCCACTCCATCCATCTCTCCTCTCTCTCGGCGCACCGCGCGCGCGTGCCTTGCGTTGGGCACGCATCTGTCCGCTTGCTGCTGCTGCTTGCTAGTGCTGCTCTTGGAAGGGCAGCAGCTCGCCTTGAAGACCCTGGAGTGACCACGGAGCTCCGTGCAAAAGCACAGAAGAGGTAAAATGTTCGCGAAAGAAATGCATTTAGTGTAGATATGCGCGTGTGCATGTGTCGGTGTGCGTTCGTGTTGGAACTCGAGCAAAGGCCCTTGCAGGGAAAATAAGAGGGTGTGCGTGGGAAGAAGGAAGGCATGGCCATTGGGGGTCGAGGCGAGGGGAAGGATTTTACGAGAGTGGGTGGGTTCAGGGGAGAGGTGTGTGTATGTGTGTGTGTGTGCTGGCCATGCGAGCCAAGCTGTGCGTGGGGAGGAGGAGGGGGGTGATAACAGCGCCCCTGCTGTCAGGATGGCTAGCCCACTGCTGACTGAACTGCCTGCCTGTACCACGTGTCTACTGTCTCCCCAAACCACGTGTCTTTAGTGTCTACTGTCTTCCTAAACCACGTGGCTACTCTGTGCCTGAACCACGTGTGTGTGTGTTTTACTCTTTTGCCTGTGTCTGAGTTTCTGTTGTCTCCAAGAACCACGTGCCTGCTGTCATTCTAAACCAGGCATCTGCGTGTCTTAACATTTACCTGAACCACGTGTCTGACTGCCTACCTATTGCCTATCTTAATCACGTGCTTACCGCCTAGATGGATTTATGTCTGAATAGCTGTCTGTGAGCGAGCCTTCATGAATGTGAGTGAAAATGTTAACTTATCCAGGAAAGTGTCAATGAGTTGCGATCCTTTTTTTGGGGGGGGGGGGGGAGGATCCTGCATTGAGCTATTTGGCCAATTCGTTGAAAAATAAATAAATATATCCTTGTGTTCTTTAGTGTGGGTAGGAAACAGATATAATCCACCATGCATACGAGGGTATAACAGTCGGGTCCACAACCACCGCCGCGTCTCACTAAGTGGTGACATCACGGCGCTTGTGCCAGGTGCGGTGCACTTTCAGGTGCGCTTCTGTGGACGTCTGGAACGCTCTTCCGATATGGGGAAGCCACTGGGAGCTATGCACTTTTACATCTGGATTGAAAACTTCTTTCTCTAGAACCGCTTTGTGTGTATAGTTTGTTATCCTTCCCCGTACCTCCGATGAGCACGGTTGGCTACGTACGGTGCGAAATAAGTTCAACATGCATACTTTAAGGCCACGTGAAGTTTCGAAGGCTTACTGACCGGAGGTTACGTGGCAGACCCAAGATGCCATGGTTTGACTGACATACGGGTTCATAATTCATAAACCCATTCGCAGTGCTGACATCACTGGACCACCACCATCACTGGGTTTGGGTGTTTCACAAATCTCTGTGATCCTCCAACCCCTTGCCTCCTAGGATCACAGACAGGTGTGTGTCGCCACATCCAGCCGAGGTCAATCATCTTCATCGCTGCACCAAACTCTTGGTCCTGTCACCGGAGTGGGATGAGTAGTGACTCTCAGTGTTGAGGATGGTTGTGTTTGATTAATTATTAACCATGTACCGTGGACATGGGAACACAACAATGATAATAGTGACAATTATTTGTCCGGGAATTACTGAATCTCAAGACTCGTTTAAGAGCGTCCTTCCTTGGGAATGCATACCTGTCAACCCATACGGTTTACCCGTATGGGTTGACAGGGAGTTTTCAGGTCCATACCGCGTACAGTCGTTTCAATACGGGCAACAATAAAAAAAAATTCAACACGAGTGTGTGCATCCACATATCAAGCAAGCAGCAGCATCAGCATGCAAGAACACAGACAATAGCATGATGAGTAGCATCATTAACGCCAATTATCAAAATTAATACATAAAACAGTGTTTAGTTACATAATTTCGTCTTTATTTGTGTTATCCCTTGTCATGGGACTCTGTAGGATGAACGTTGAGATTTATAAGGGCACGGGGTGACCAATAAGGTCTAAATTGGTCTGTAATAAGGTAGGCACTGATAAGGGGTTGACAGGTATGGGAATGTTTTGACCATTTTTAGGAACGAGTGTTTGGCTACATGTGGGGAGGAAGCCGGAGAATCTGGCGAAACCAAGCGTGTATAACATAAAGGGAGTTTCACTCTAGCACTGCCTGGCCACCAGGTTGCCCCATGCTACACCTGGAAAACCAGGTGTTGGGCCATTCAATACTAACCAGGATCGATCTTTCTTAGCACTGAGATCTGACGAGATCAGCTATATTTTTGGTGATATTTTTTTACGTCGGCATCGGGGCAACGTAAGTTTGGCAACTGCTTCAACCACAGCTTTCATTGCAGGGTATTAGCTGTCTGTAATCCCTTCAATTAGTGGCGTTTATGGACCTCCTCTGCCTACCAAACATTGCCCCCCATGGCTACTGTCCCTCTCAAAATCAGAATTGTCCTTTAGAAATGTGGTTAGGACTGGATATGACAAACTACATCCGGTGATGCTGTCACCTTAAACATACTGTACTGAGGAAGGCGAAAGCCACCACAACTGGCCTAGGCCCAGTCACGGTTCACGAACCCGAGTGCAGAGCGGTGTGTGTGGTGATGTGAAGAGAGTGGGATCGGATGGAGGGAGACTGAGCCACGGCCCTGCCCTTGGGCAGATAATTTGCAATCAAGGGAGATGCAGTGTTAATGTAGACGAGTTAATTGATTACTGTAAAAAAGAACAACATGCCTTTCACGCCGCGTGGTGCTAACTTCAGTCGGCTAGAATAATTGATCAATTTTCTAGAAAGGGGTTTGATTGGTCGAATGGCGCCTTAAATAGAGAAGGGCTTTATCGGTCAAGTTAGCTTGGAGTTCAATTATCCCACCATTTACAAAAGTCAGTGTGTGTCCCACTTCTTAAGAGACTATAGCAAGGGGCTCATCTCCTTTGGCGGGTCTAAACCAATGGTGGAAATTCCACATTCCCATGGCATCGACTCATTCTTGGAAGACCATCATCTGTGTTGAATTCCCACACAATGACACTGATTGTATCTTCCCTGAAGGAATGATTGGCATGGTTGATCCAATAATGGAATTTGAACTCGGCCTATAAATGCTGTACAGTAACAGTAAACGGAATAAAGTAAACATATTTCCTCCGTGGCCCTGGCCTCAATGGCCCGCAGTGGTGACTATTGGTGTAGCTGTTAGTGGTGTGCGTGGCAGTGTGGAGGGGTTAAGGGTAAGTGACTTTGCGTGCATGTGGGGGTGTGATGATGGATGCATCGGTGATGGGTACTTTGGCTAATAGGTGATGGGTATTGGATTGATGGGTGGTGGTTGTTGGGGTTCATGGGTGTTGAGGTGAAGGGTGATGGGCTGATCGGCGGCGGGTGTTGGCCTCATGACCCACAAGTGTAATGTTGGTCTTAGTAGGTGCCCAGTACTCTCCACCAACAACACGTGTGCGGTACTGCATACATTTATTTATATAGCGCGAGGCAGTTGTTTATACAGCAAATGTAGTCAAAATGGGAACGTCTCTCTCCTCATTGTGGCTGTCCTCTCCTGCATTACTGGGCCCTAAGCAAGCTTCTAAAAAAATCCACATTAGTATGGTCGGTTCTAGTCCTGTACATTGATAAGACTTCAATACATAATGTGGCGTTGCCTCATTATACCGAGCCTTAAAGAACTGATGATAATGATGCTGACAATGAGTTGACTGACCAGGGTATGTTGTAAGAGCATGGCGTGTCCATCATTGAGAATACATTTTGATACGAGCAGCAAGTAAAACGTATGCATGCAAGTAACAGTACATATGGATTTTATTGCAATACTAAAAATCGCCTTATTCATATTACGAAGTTCATTGTGTTCTGCAGCTCAGCTATTAAATTTGCAAACAAACTCAACATAATTCGTCATTAATACAGTGGGGGGGGTTCCTTAAAAGGAAAATAACAGGTGACGGTTCGGGCAAAGGTCCTATGCGCCACTGCCAACGCAGTATCACTAAATAATGTATTAAATAAGCAGTTAAATAGGTATCCACACACACATCTGGCACACATCTACATCAGCACATTGGCACATCTGCAAACACGCTCACACAATGCAAAGATCCCCCGTATAGCCTGAACAGACTGTTGGGGAAAGTGCTATTAGCAAGCACCGATGAAGATCGGGACGGGACACGAGGGGGTGGGCGGCCAGCACCACGCCCGGCCTCCTTTGTCTCCCCCAGCGCCTATGTTTACTACATGTCGCACCACAAACTCATTTGAGGCCGAGTGGACCTAGGGGAGGAGACCCAAGACCGGTTCGGAAAATCGTCACTGATGTTGGCCGTGAACAGGAATCGAACCTGGGTGGCCAAGTTCGCAGCGCAGCGCGCTATCCGCTACACTGCCGCTCCCCACAAGACACGCTCACACAAAGATCCCAAAGTTTTAACAGACTGTCGGGGCAAGTGCTGTTAGCGAGCACCAGTGAAGGCCGGCACGGCACACGTGTGTAATGTCCAGGTCAAATGTTAACGTGTTTGGAAATGACACACGTGCACAATGTGGACATTACACACACACGTGTGTGTGTAATTTCCACACGTGTGTAATGTCCAGGTAAAATGTGCACGTGTGTAATGTCCAGGTAAAATGTGCACTTGTGTGTGAAATTACACACACACATGTGTGTGTGTAATTTCCACACACACACGTGTGTAATGTCCAGGTAAAATGTGCACGTGTATGGACATTACACACGTGTGTGTGTAATTTCCACACACACACACGTGTGTATTGTCCAGGTAAAATGTGCACGTGTATGGACATTACAAACACGCGTGTGTGTGTAATTTCCACACACACACACACACGTGTGTATTGTCCAGGTAAAATGTGCACGTGTATGGACATTACAAACACGCGTGTGTGTGTAATTTCCACACACACACGCGTGTGTGTAATGTCCAGGTAAAATGTGCACGTGTATGGACATTACAAACACGTGCGTGTGTGTGTGGCCATCACTGGCCCCGGCCAAAAAAATGCGAGAGGGCATCTTTAAAAAAAAAATGCGCGGCGCGCGCTCGGGATTAGCCAATCGGAGCGCGCGCCGGGCACCACGTGACGCGGGAATCCCGCACCACCCCTTCGTGT